AAAGGGTTCTTCATCGCGATTACCAACCAGACGCTTGAAGTCAACCAATTTGGCAGAACACAGCTTTTGGACTGATACATCACCGACTGGCAGTGTCAGCTGTTTGTTCATTCCTTCGGATCACCATTCATTATCTTTATATCGCCCTTCATAATCTAAAATCACGAATTAGAGTGGACAGAAGCAATCTGATATGGATTCAGTATGGTTAAACTGTTTAGTGGAGCACTTCAGTTGACATGACCGTTTCAGCTGCAATCAGCTGATCGTATTATCGATTGATCATTGATCGTATTAGATATAATACGATCAACTAATTGATCAGCTAATTGATCTTGTTAATGTGATCTTGGTGATAGTATAATTGTGAAGTTAAAGGTAGTGACTGGCTTACATGAAGGGCAAATAAATAAGCAAATAAATGGGTAGATAAATACGGTTTTGAAGACATTATCGATCATATAGCAGATGAATGCTTATCTAATTTGAGCAACTCATTGTTTAAGACAATTAATTGATGCTTCTTGCTGGCTTATTGCTCTAACTCTATCTACCGTCGTCAAGCTTATGTTCCTTTGTGATCTGCAGCAGTTGCAGAGCTGGAAATTTTCAGTTAAGCAGCAATTCAACGAACACAACATCGATGTCATCGACAGACGATCGTAGCAAGAAGATGCAACATTGTTCTGTGGGAGTAGGCGGAAACGCTGTTGCAGCAAACTCAGGCTCAGGCTCAGGTTCAGGCTTCGACGCAGAACAGTGTACGGCTGGAGGAGTAATAGGCTCGACTAGTGGGCGCCGATCGTTGCGGAAACAACAACGTCGTGGAGTGAATGCTATAGCTCGTGCAGAACATCATGATGAGACTCTAGTTGAGAGTAATATTTCGAGCGGAGCCGAAGAGGTGTGCTAAGCGGTTTTAAAGATTTTTCAAAAATTTTGAATGAAGTATTCTTTCACTTTCGGGAAGAATTGAGCTCTAGGGTAAAGGCTGCCCAACTCGAGTCATACATCAGTAACTAGGAAGGTGGTGATTAAAATATTTAAGGTTTGAGATGTTTGCTAAAAAAAAGGCACACTGGACGATCTTTCTATCTCAGCTAGATGCCTGATCCGCTGTTTGATCTCAGCTAGCTCTATAAAAACCTCAAATCAGTCACTAACGTTGGTACTTGGTACTGCAGTTAAATCTGCCTCTTCCTAACTAATCTATTATTGAACAGGAAGAAGAGAAACATCAGGATGAGGCGAAACAATCACCAAATAAGTTAGTGCATACAGCACTGGAGTTAGCGTGGTCACTGTTTGGTCCGAACACGACCGTAGTAAAGACTCTGCAGATGTCACGAAATCACAGAAACGGTGGCCAAGAGCCACACTCGCTATCGTCAGGTGAGAACGCTTCAGGTTTTAACGAATAAACTAGCAGTTTGCTTGGTGTAGACTGAAGATATCATTCGTTTCTCGTTAATGGATAATCGATAATCGATAAACCCGAAAGCTGATCTCTAGCTCAAACAGGCTAAAGCTTGAGATCCGGTGGAAATATTGATCAATCAGATCATTAGACAATTACCATAAGCACTTTTTTGTTAAGGATAAGGTGTTTGAATAGATAACTATAGGCGAGCGATTTCATTGGATGATTCAGCTGTCTACCGTACTCGCTCGCGGTTGTTAAAGCCGCAAGCCACGCCCCCTCCCACAGTATGCGCGATGGTCATTGGCTACGCCTTCCATTCTAGATGCAGAGAGTGGGAGGCGCTGTAATGCTAAAGTAACTGCTCTGAAGGCGTAGAAAATGCCGAATTTTAGTATGAGAACGTCTAATTAAAGGGAAATTGCCACTGGAAAGGCTATGACAAGAGAAGATCCATCAAATTTTCGCATTCGCATTCGGCAAATCCTCCTGAAACTCTAAAATGTTCTGCAACATCGGCTGTTGGATGTTTTCTTGATGATACTGTCGCGACTAGAGCGAAAAGCCAGCATACAGTGATGATAGTAGTATTTAAATCCAATAGAAATGATTGAGCAATGGGGCGATAGTGTAATCGTGTTTAGATGCTGGGCTTGAGGATGCGATTAATCTGTTCAGAGGGCGTGAGTTCGATTCGATTGATCTGTTCAGAGGGCGCGAGTTCGATTCGATTCAGAACGCCTTGGTGCAAAATCTTTAACAAAGTTAGATCTCATTCAAGAGATCACAATCAAGAGGGCTTACTTGGTTTCGACAATACGAATTTGCAGATGTCATCATTGCAATAGTTATCAAACAGAAGGATTCTAAGTGGATTTAAACTCCATTTTTTGAAAAACTCTCGATCTGAAGATGTCACGCTTGCAGAATACGCATCGCCAAGTGATGAGGATTCGGGTTCACTGAAGGAGGACGTAGAAGGTTCGTGCTATCGGGAACAACGCCACCTGAGGCGTTGCGCGAGTGATAGCGCTCTGTTCGTGCACAGCAACAGCTACGAAACGGCACTGAATGGAGCGATTTCATCAGCCTATGGAGTCAATTTCAGCCAGCTTCAGAATAACCCGAATCAGAGCAAAAATTTTCCATCTTTAGGGGTTAGAAATTAGTTTTTTGATCAGATACAATGTTATGGAAGGAAGTGATCGATCGATCGATTGCGAGCGATCGATCAAACCCATTCCTAATAGCTGGCATTCACATGAGTCAATATTGATTACTTTTTACGACAGAAGTCAGGGCTGATCCCTATCTTCTTTAGCAAACCATATAAAGTTCCTGGCGTCGTAAGTGATGCCGTTGCTCGATAGTAACTGTTGGACCTCACCACAAGCATAAACTTGATCATTCATATCTGCGACGGTGGAAAGCTAGAGTTTAGGGTAACCACAATGAATTTCTTTGGGTTGATTAGAGCTAACAGAATGAGGAATTTAAATTCTGGGAACTGATACAACGTATCTGAATTTAGGACAACTTCTGTGGTGCCGGTGAAAGAGCAGCGGAGGATTCTGGGATTACGGATACGGCCGCGAAAAAGATTGGAAGAGCAGAGGCAGCAGCTGCTCATGGTGACGCATTCGCGAAACAGAAGCCGAATAAGATCCATGCTCAGCTAAAGACTGCTACAAACAGTGGGATTTTGGGATATTTCAAATCCTTTCAGACTGTGAATTGCCTTTCAGGGTAAAAGCTGTTCAAGACGAGAGTTTGGGTTGAATTTGATTCGCAGTTACTGCGATTGACATGCGAAATGATCAAAACGGACTTTTTAAGTGGTTTCAGCCGACGTCAGAAACTGAAATCACAGTGACTGTGTTCATTAATTTGTTGCTTTACATGCGCCATTGTTTTAGGATTTCCAATTCGGTTAATAGAATGTTCGGTTGAAGTTTTGAAATTCTATTGTCTCAACTAAAGAAGAATTTTTCGGTGTTTTACTGATGATAATAATGATAATATTTTATTCGCATGTCGATATGTATAATGTAGTAAATTCGGCACTTTTTTACTTTGGAGGGTCGCACGCGAGCAAGCTCGCG